GGTATAACCGGTACTTTCGTGTAGACGAATGGCTGTAAGCTGTAGACGAAGATTATAGACGAATGGCTGTAAGCTGTAGACGAAGATTATAGACGAACGAAAGGTCACCAAATACAATTTGATTAGCCATGAGCGGCAACAACCTCCCCCTTCACGCTATTCAGCCGCCCCCAGAGACCACTTACAGCTCTCACGATGCCGCTGAAGCCGCGCTGCACCAGTGGACGCTAGATCACGGCTTCAACGTCTCTCGCCGACGTGTTCGATACAAGGGTGGCCCCGAACGCGAAATTTGGGCTCGTAACTACGAGTGTGACCGTGCAGGGGCCCCTAAGAACACTCAACACCTGACCGAGCATGATCGGAAGCGTACGCTACGGGGATCGAAGCGCTCGGCTTGCCCGATGCGGATAGAGATTAGGGCTGTATTTTAAAGATGACACTGCCGGCCAGTGGAAGATTGTTCATACTGCTCGAAGCACGCATCATTACCATCAACCTTCGCGGGATGTTCGTGGGTGGACGTTGAGAACCTTGCTCCTGGTCAACCAAAGAAGGAGAATTCTTGGCAAACGAACTCATTTATGGCGAGTTTCTACGAGGCTGTGGACGCCGAAACAGAAGCCGACTTCAATGCCAAGCGTGATGATCTAATTGAGAAGTGCAAACCAGTCTCAGATTACCTCGATCTGCATTGGTGGAAATACAAGACAAGGATTGTCAAACACTGTACAAACAAGTACATGCACTTTGGTGTCCGCGATACTTCCACAGTTGAAGGAACGCATGCCAAGATCAAGAGCAAATTGGAATCGAGTCAAGGAGATTTGTACACGGTGTTTAAGAAGCTTCTGAGTTGGTGGACGATCGCGGCGTCGGAGACGCGCTTACTTATGGAGCAAAACGCAGTCACTGCACTTCACATATTCCAGAAGAACCGTTATTCCAGAGTAGTTCGTATTATCACACGAGTAGCTCTTGGAGAAACAGAGAGGCTGTGGAAAGATGCGGAGAAGATAGTAAACAGCGGGGTTCGGCGTAGCAAGTGCTCAGGTGTTTTCCGTGTCGTACACGGCAGACCATGCCTGCACGAGTTAATTTTGATCGTCGAGTCCAACGGGCAACGGTTCTTAGCTCCTCATGATTTCGACAAGCATTGGTGGATTTATAGGGATCAAGATAAGCACACTGTGCCAAGTATTCTAGAACCCAGCTACAATCCCGCACGAATCGAAAGGGAAAATCGACCAAGCCCCAGCATCGAAAGAATCAAGGCAAAAGAGGAACTGGACGCGAGCCAACTTTCAGTGAGCGCATGGATTTGAGTCATCCTGCTACTCCACCTACAATGGTAGGTCTGCCCCCGATTGATATGCAACAGTTCGGCATCCACGAAGGAGACGTAATTTTGAGTTTCGAAGACGCTTTCCTACCACCGCGTTCATGGGGTTTTGCCGGCCGTATCCCCTTTACGGAACAGCAGCCAAACGAGAAGCAGTAGACCAGACAGAAGCTATACGTCTAAATATATGTTTTCTTGCAACTTCAACTTTAAATTTTACTTCAACTTCCAATAATTAAAAAAAGGAAATTTGCAATATGAACCTTCAAATGCGATGTAATGAGATTTACTCCACCTACTGGCCGCTACCGTGGACTCTGCTCTTGTGCGAACTCAAACTACTCGCCACGGGGTATTCGACGTTGGGGCACAACTCGCATTTGAAGACACCCTCCTTGCCCTCGCGCTTTCGCTTCAACCGGTTCGAAGCTCCATCGGGATTCTGCTCACACAAATACCGATGTTTGCGCAGCCAGGCCCCTTTAAGCATCTTGACACCGCAGAAACCACACACACCATGGCTCGGAAGAACATTTTGGACCACATCAGGGTGTCCAGTGCACGTCGGCGTAGCTTAGATAGCAGTGTACACGGTAGTTAGTTTTGATGAAAGAAACACCGCTGTGAATGAGATCTCCTCTAAAGATTAGGCAAAATCCCACGGGAATTTCCACAATGCGCTCTTTGCTGTCGTCCCTGGCAGCGAAGCATCCGTCGAAGACTCGAAGCCTCGTATTGGGCTGCAAAGCTAGCACCATGCTTGCTGGAACACCGCCGGGATGGGCTGCGCGGGCACGAGCTATGTCGTCGCCTTGGTAGTCCTGGGGGGCCTCCTGCTCTGTTCCGCCTGGCTTCGAGCGCATGAACGAGAATACGCCTGGCTTCCAACCCGGGTGCAGCATTCCAATGACTACATCCAGCGCCTTACGCAGCTCCAAGAGAGCTGGCGACAACGCAGCACTATCCACGCGAGACTGTTGGCGGTAGGAGTCGTCGCCACCTCCGACACGATTGAAAACCCCAGTGTACGTACGGGCCTTAGCTTCGGCTAGTAGTGTAGGTATAACGCGATCCGGTAGGACGAGGCCCACGGCCAGATATCCATTCGGCAGCAAGGGCCCGGTGACCGAGTTCATGAGTTTGCATAGAATCTGAAAGTGAATGCGAAAAACGTTTTTGTTTTTGCAACGGGAACGGTCGTTAGGACGGGAACGATTTGCAACGGGAACGGTCTCTGCAACGGGAACGATTTATACTGGTATTTACAAGTACAGATACCGGTAAACTGTAGTTTTCCTTACTGCTCTTTTTATGCGAGGGCCCTCCGGATGAGGGCCCGCATAAAAATACCTTCTGGCAAATTACCTGTGCACCAAGTTTGTTCAAACGTTGATGTCAAAAACCGAATTCGGTACCTGTTAAAGTTTAACGCAGAAAATGATGACAAAACCGAATACGTACTTGTTAAGTTAGTTGCAGAAAATGATGACAGTTCAATGTAAGGACACGTTAATTTCTC